GGGGGGTTGTTTGTCAATGGGTATCACTTTCCCATTGACTAACTTTACAACATTCTTTTTGCATTAATTACTAGGCCCCAAGGTAAAGAGAGCCTCATTTACTCAGGTAAAATTTATCTCCCAAGTGGGTAAGTTACATTCCCACTAGGAAAAAAATTATAAAAATAATAAATAAATTTTCTCATTTAAGCATTAACTTTTTATGAGTAAGAAAGGTAATGATATTACTTAGGAATCAAAATAACATAGGTAAGTGAAATGTGAATTTACTGAAAACATTTACTTGAGTAAATTACAAAATTGTAAATGAACAAGGCCTAAAGGGTAAAGATATTAATTAACATTATAATAACCAAATTTAACTTTTTGCATCACAACCAAGGCCAATATAAGCTTTATATAGTATAGATGTTTCCCACATGTTGGTATATGTTGGTTGTAACCCCCTTATCCATAATCCAAACACTAGTAGCAATAGGATCCATGTCTCTATACAACTTGCGAGGGAACTTACCAACTGAACCATCATTGGTTGCTATGTTTCTCATACATTTGTACCTTATAATGGAATTAATATTGTCAATCTATCTATTATCCATGGTGTGTAGCAATATGTATCCAGTTTTTCCCTACCGGTTAAATTTGACGAGACTGATTTTTAACCTCTCTTTTACCTTTTGCTCAAAAAGCACCTAACATGTCCATTGTCTGATGGATGAGAATGAGGTTCACTAGAAGTCTAAAGCTAGTAAAAAATATGGATGATTAGCATGGACTACACTATAAAGATATTATGATCAGATCGCGACCTATTAACGTCATGCCTATATACAGTCAGCTGGGGTATTTTATGAGTCTGGATTAGCTGCAGTTCATGGCTGTGTTAGGGTCTCTTTAACCAATAATAATGCCCCACATCAGCCATGAAGTGAAAGATTGGAGTGGTTATGACAAGGTTCAAAGTATCGATACTGGCCGATATGTTGTCAGTACTCTTTTTTGGTTTTTTTTTTTGAATTTGGTTCAGCCGGTTTAAAGCTGGTCTTCCCCTAAACCACTTGCCTACCTGAAACACCCCCCGGAGGGGTGCATTGGGAAAGCTCCAATACGATACGTCAAAGTTCTAAATATCAATACGCCTGATACGCCAGTAGGGGCATATCGGGTAGTATCAGACCTTTTTTACTTTTCTTTTGATTTTTTTTTCAAAACCAATTTAGGGGGCTGGTTTAAGGCTTCTCCACCCCTGAACCGGTCAGAACCCCGATAAACCCTCTGTAGGGGCATATCGGGGTGCTCCCGATACAATATGTATCGGCCGATATGGGCCGAAACGTAACAATTTTTTTAAACTTGCGATACGCATCAGAACCTTGGGTTATGATACACGTCCCTAACACAGCCATCAAGTACAGATAATCCCCACTTTGCATTTAACCATCTGGGATGAATCAGGTGAAGGGATTCAATAACTAAAAGCTCGAAATGATGGCCCTGCAAACCAATCCAACCCAGAACCAATAAAAGCAAATAATGGTTGTTGCTCTTAATAATGGATTCAAGTGTTTTCAAATAATAACTAGAATACCTTTGACCCCTCTTGTCATCAAGTGTCCTGCAGGGCATTTATTTTGTGGTTTTACAGATGGTGAGGCCTTCAGCTCATATATATAGATGGCATACCTTTTGAAAGAGAGGTTTTGTATCTATAGCTCTACCAAATCTGTCTTTACTTTCTCCACCATTTCAACCCCTATCTATAGATGATAATAGATCATGTCAAATTCATTCTCAAAGTTTTTTTTTTTTTTTTCGTGTGCACTTGTACATATTGGCGACTGGCTGTCTTCTGAAAATTAGTATGTTGTTTGATCAACTTATCATCCCACTGATGTGCAACCATTTCTTTTGGTAAGCAGATCCACTGCAACTTCTGTAGGATAGGAATGAAAAAGCAAAGCATGGTGAAACCCTCAAACCTCTTGCACTGATTGGACGATATCATAATCCAATAACCGATCTTTGAGAGCTAAATCAACGAGTTCAAGTACCATTGTGGCTTAGGACAGAAATGCACTTTCCCTTCTCCATGTGTATACATGTGAACATAGCCATTGGAGCTGGGAGCGCCACCATTAGACCAAGACCCTCCATCCAGTTGAGATTGTTGCAGGAAAGCATTTCTTAGTTGACATATTCACAAGGAACAAAATTTCTAGCCACAGAAAACAGATAGGAAACCTAACTAGGAGAACTAAGAAAAGTGCAGTTTGCAAACTCTACATGAAATTCAATTTGGTGAGGCCATAGAGGCTCCTACTACAGACATGCAGTTTCTGCAACCTCAAGGAAGAATGTTCGAAAATATGAATATACATGTACATGTAGAGCCTAGAAACAAACATGAGGAGGAATCAGCTTTCCTGGGTTCATGATATTGTTGGGATCTAAAACTGCTTTTATTCTCTTCATTGTTCTCAAGTTCTCCATTCCAAGTTCCTTCTCAAGGTACTGAATACAAAGAAAATTGTGTTAGATAAGGTTTGTCCAAAGCAACCAAGGAAAATGCTTTTCTAAAGCATGACCTGTTAAACAGTATATGCCCTCAGCTCCAATGCATGAATTGTACATTGACTTGATTATGAATAAAAGTCAACTTTTATTTCATTTGTATGTTTTTCTAATTACCCCTTATCTTATATCAGTATTATGTTTCAGATTGCACAATTATTTCAATAAAGACTTAAGGCTGTGTTTGACATTTTCATACTATCCAATGTAGTGAAGTAGTAGTGAGTTTCAGCTTCTTGGGTTGTGACCTAAGGTATGAGGTGTATTTAAGAAACATTAAATTTGGACCATTTCTGTGTTCTTGGACTTTGTGATTAGTGGAACAATTGATTATTGCATTTAACCCCTAGACTTGATATTGATACTTTTCTGAGTATCAGTCTCAATTACTTTGATATACTGACCAGTGAGATCATTTTTGGTCAAATACCTGGATATGTTGGAGTAGTTCAAGTTGGTATTTGACCAGGTGATCAATGTGATAAGATCTGTTACTATGTTGAGACATAGTGAACATTTGGTAATAGCTTCTTGTGATGGATGCCTGAATCCACTGGTAGTAGGAAGCTGGACACTTTGTCATATTGACTTAGACGGAATAAGTCCTTCCCCAAATACAGTGTCGAGTGTTGAGAGTAGAGAGATTAATTTCAAGTGAGATATTGGGCTGATATTAACTGATAATAATTTAAATGGGCTGAACCAAGAAGACTTGGGCTTTTAGAATGGTAAAGCTCTAAGTAATTACTATTAGATAGTAAATGGGCTTAGGTACTTGGGGCGGTGGAACCCAAGCTTAATGTTTTAGACATTAATGGGCCTAATTAGAGGCCCAACCAAGGTTAAAAGTATTGTAGAGATACTTGTTAGTGTGTGGTCCCACACTTTATTTTTGTTTATTTCTTTAGGTTATTTCATGGAAGATATGGTAGTTAGGCCATATTTATTTATTAGAGGAATTCTACCTATTGTTAAGTTACAAGTATAAATAAGAATTAGTGGGGCGGCCAGACATAACTAACCTCTTTTCTCTTCTTCTCTCTTTTTCTCTTTGGTTCAGGGTTAATCTTTATTCTTTTTCTCTCTGAATCACATCAGAAAACAGATATTTTTTGTTTCTTTTTATTCAAATTGGTATCAGAGCAAGGTTATACCATGCAGTTTTTATGTTTTATTTAGTTTTTTTTTTTCAAAATTTGGTTTATATATATATTTATTAAAAATAGGGGTGTTTCGGACCCGATATGATACAATTTGTCCTTGGGCCAACTACCTAGGATGATTTGTCCTTAGTGAAAGAAGAAAATTCAGTCTTGGTGGGTCCCACCTTATACTGGAAAGGAGGGACTTGCATATTAGTTGATTTGGTTCAAATTGGAAACTTGTGTGTCCCACACCATAAAAGAACCATTCTCACTCTCCCTTGAAGAATTAGGAAGTGGGTAGGATTAGGGGACTGAGCTATTGCAGAACGAAGGAGGTGATTGTGATTCCTCATGAGACATTTGCGATCATCTTATGATGTTGGAAAGGAGTTTGGTAGGTCAATTCATCAATTCAGATGAGAAAGCTGTAGGGGACTGGGCTGTTGCAGAATGGCTACCAAAGAATTATTTTCAGGTTAGACAGTTGAATTCTGGTTAATTTCTATTAACTTTGACAGTGAGGCAGAAGTAAGCGATGTTCCGAAGCAAGAAAAAGACAGTGAAAGTGGTTTCGATCTAGAGGTGGGAGTTCTTGATAGAAGTTTTGAAGAAAAGAGGTCTGGAAGTTTACCTATTGAAAACATTGTTGAGAGAGATGTAGAGGCTGGCAAAAGCCTTGGCTAAGTTTTTTGGGGTGGTGAGGAGTTTGCTAGGAAAGCCTCTGAGGAGTTTGACAGGAGAAAGAAGAAAGAGAGGATGGATAAAGGTGTAATTGGGGAAGGCAGAGAATTTTGGGATGAAGATGATGATGGGCAAGAGGAAGTGTTTGAGGGGGAGGATTAGGGAGATGGATTTTCAAGGTGTTGCTTGGTTTTGGAGCAGGTGGAGGAGGTATGTGGAGTTGTTTGGAGAGTCTGGTGTTGTCTGGTTTTTGTCCCTGTTTATTCCTATAGTCTGGTTTCAATGGTTGTAAGCTGTGTCTTAGTGTTTTTCTCTTTCTCTCAGGTGATAACTTATTACCTTCCTTTTGTATTCTCTTTTTTCTTTTAATGAATTTCTTATTATTCTTCAAAAAACAAAAGATTAGAACATTGACTAGTTTGACCAGCCAAATCTTGGTTGAATTAGAAATTCTCTAACTAACAGCCCTTTCCAAATTGGATAAGGGAATGTAATGAGCAATTCAAATAGGTGTCTTAAGATCAACCAGCATTGTGATTGATTCGTTCACTCTCTATTGCTCTCTAATTCAACCTTTAAAGATTACAAGAATACTAGAATTGTTCTAGGGTTTTGGGAATCTTCTTCTCAACCTATTGAAGTCAGTCCAAGACCAGATTTTGCAACCTATCTTGGTGGATCAAAGACGATCAAAAGGAGGTGCTACTGGTGGCAAATCATTGCTACATTCTGAGGAAGGAAGCTTAGTATGAATTGAAACTGTATCATCTTTGGTCCATTGTTGCAAGTGTGAGACTTGGAATTTTGGGCGTGAACTACCACAGCTGGTTGCTGCGCTTGTGGAAACTTCTCAACTTAACCACTACTGGTTTTACGTCTGATATGAAATGGTCTAAATCACATGATTGAACCCTAGTAGAGAATAGTTTTCTCATTGAGAAGAGTTTCAACTTGCAATACTTCTTGATATGATCAAGATCAAAATTTTTGAATTTCAAGACTGAAACTTTTCCTCTCTTTCCACTGCAATTTTGTTTATCATGATGATTAGTTTGGTTTATAGCCAAGGTATGCGGTATTCCTGTGTTAATACTGTACAGAATGTCACATTAAAAAACAATAGTGGAATATGTACCTTCATTTTCCCAGTGCCAACACCATGTTCCCCAGTGCATGTACCTGTTCAGTTATAAGACAACAAATAAAACTAGATTAACAAGAACCAAGGGTGCAGAAAATGAAGAGTGAATCATAGATCCATCCTTAATATGCTTTATAGTACAAAAATAAGAGAATTTTTTAACAATCTAAAACACAAACATTAATAAATTTCACACAGAGTGCACTTTTTTCTTTTCTATTATACTCTGTAGTTGGTACTTTGGCATAGTGTGTCAGATGTACCCTGACGTAGAAGATTCCTTATATACATCCATTGCATGATTCCACAACCAATTAGTTGGCATAACCATTGGCACTACTTGAGTGATCAGTGTTTTAAAAGGTATATGTCTCCTGGCTCAACCTTGAGGTTCATGTTTGAAAAGTTAAAGGACTATTCCTTACACTTTGAAATGCCTTATCCATGTATGTAGATATATATAAATGTATATGTATATTTTATGTGTGTATTTGTGATTATATGATGTGATGTCTATTTTTGAACATCTTCGAAGGGGTAGTGTTTTACGTATAAATACTTGCTAAATTGTTAATTAGCTCCTAATGTTCTTATGCTTTTTTGTTTATGTGGTTGATTATTCATTTATATGTTATTCACTTGAAACAATATATAAAAAACTGAGAAAAATGGTTAAACATGAGATAGAGAGAAAGAACAAAGAAAGGAAAATAAGAGAAGATAGAAATCAATGAGAGGAATAGGGTGTGTTTAGGACTTGGCTAACCCACCCTTTAACTATTTAGTAATCATTTCCATATACATTTCTAGGGCCATGTTTGTAAAATTACCTATCTAATTAATTTGATGCCATCTCATGTTTTATAGTTAAAGAAAACCTTGCATTTGGTATATCCTGAGAGACCTCTTTATTGTTCCTTTAAGTGTTTGGCTGTACCTCATTTATTCATATTCTTGGGACAAGAGTAAGTTTTGTCTCAAAGTTATTTGATCGGTGTTTTTTGGATACTCATATAGTCAAAGGGGCATTGCTACTTTGGTCCTGTTTTCCATAGCACATAAATCCATTGTGAATAAAGCTATACCCCATGAAAGCACACAAAGTTGCTTGTGGTGATAGCTTTGTGCATTCATGAGGAAGATGCACAAAGCAAACACGACCCAAAACATGTAGGGCGGAATAGTTTTTATGAAACAGATAAAGGAACGTGATTAATAAGGTATACAGAAGTGGATACATCTTAAATCCAAAAAGATGCAAGAGCCTGTGAGCTATCTAACAGGGTTCAAACCATCCCTAGAATATGTCTATTTTTCCCTTCAGCTACCCCATTTTTTGTCGGGCAGCAAGGCAAGAAAATTGAAATAAGATACCATGTATTTCCAAATATTTCTGAAAAAGAAGCATCACTTTTCTCTCTCTGAATCAGAACGCAGAACTTTTATTTTTGCAAAGAATAAGTTTCTATTATGGCTTTGAAGATGTGAAAGTAACCAAATACCAAAGATTTCTTATGAGTTAAGAAACAAACCTGGGTGTATCTAGTGCAATCATCCATGAATAACACAACCTATTTATACCCCAAACATGATGAGCAAGGTGTTGGGTTCACTGGAATCAATGACCCATATAGGATTGGAAGAAATTGTAGAACAAGCATGTTTACCAGAGAGTCAAATAGCAGAAATGCAGGGTTTATAGATGAAGAAATAATACTCTGGACTAGCTTATGTATATGTCAGTATTCATTATTATAGTTTGATGAGGAATCTGAATTTGCAACAGAAGTATGATTCTTGGTGTTCTTGCTGAGTTTTATGACCAGGTTTCTTGGATGTTCGGATAGAAAACTTAGTGATGAATGATGATATAACCAACCTTTTTGCAATTTATACAATTTCTTCTTGCAGCAGGGGACTCTATCCAACTTCCTTGCACTCAACACTGCATAGAACTAAGACCTTTGGTAGCAGTTTTGATCCTTATGCTTGTTGGCTAGAAACACAACTTTTCCTGGATTCCCTCCAACATGGCTTCAGTCAGTTGAAGCAGTTTCTTAGATAATTCTTTGAGATGAAGGACCTTGGTCCAGTGAGACAGTGTACATGAAGCCTCCTCCAACATACTGTGATAATCCTAACTTAGCCTACAAACTTAGAAGTCTTTATATGGGGTCAAACAGGCTCCTCGAGCTTGGTTTGAGAGATTTCGTGGGGTTGTTGTTGTTAAGTTGTTATTAGAATTATTTCTRCTGTTAGTTATAGGGTACTGTCAGCATGTTTCTAGCTTTTATTTATTGTTTTTTGTTAGGGTGTGCCACCGGGGGCAAATATGTACTTTTCTCCTTTGATTTTCTCAGTTATTATAAATAGAAGGCTGGGTGCTGTCAGCCCAGATTTTTGGATCTCAAACAGCTTTCTTCTTCTCTTCTTCTCTTCTCTTCTCCTTTTTCTCTCTCTTTTCTAGAAGATAACATGGTATCAGAGCATCATTCTAGGCGATAGGGATCCTTTTTCCTCTGAATCATATTTTTTTCACCCGGATTCCTGATTTCTTGGACTGTGAAGACAAGAAACCCTAATCGGACTGGTCAGAACAGTCATTCTTTGTTTTTCTGGGTTCTTCCTTGGTCGTAACACCAAGGAAACCCTAGTTGGTGATAGTCGACGCTGTGAAGGCTGTTCTCTTGGTGTTTGTACCTTTGTACATGTACTGTACAGGGGTGTGTGATCCTCTTTGTCACAGGTATGTGCTGTGTTTACTTGGCATATGTGGTGTGTGTTTCAATGGTGACCAGGACTTAATTTCTTGGACTATTTAATTGCTGTCAGTGGAATTTCAGCAGTGTTTTTTCATTTAGGAAGCAGAATTGTTTGGTGTTTTGTGCCCTACTTGTGATTGTGAGTGGAAGTAATCGAGTGGGGACAAGTCATTGTGCAGCAGTGGTTACTATTTTGGTCTACAGAACTTTTCTTTCATGGTAAATGATGATTCTACTTCATTTGGGATTACATCAACCCATCGTACAGCTATTGAAAATATGATGTTTCCTATGCCAACTACCTCTCTAAATGGCCTGAACTACCTGGAGTGGGCTAAAAGTGTAAAACTTTATGTCGTAGGTAGGGGAAAGGCTGGTTACATAAATGAGAGAGAAAAAGAACCTAAGAGTGAGACAGCTGAACATGATAGGTGGGACTAGGAGAACAGTATGGTGATGTTATGGTTTCTTGCAGCAATGGAACCTGATGTTAAGAAGAACTTTATGTGGGTAGAGACTGCTAGTGAAATATGGGAACAGGCCAAAACCACCTACTCTGAGCAAAAGAACTATACCAAGATTTACCAGTTACGGGCTGAATCCTCATCCTGTAAACAGGGTAACCTTAGATTGTTAGCCTATTATTCAGCCCTTACTTTGATATGGAAGGAATTGAACTACTATCAGACTATAGAGTGGAAACATGATGATGATGCTAAAGACTATGAGAAGTTGGTTTCTCAGCAGCGGGTTTTTGCTTTATTGTTAGGACAAAACCTCGTGTATGAACCTCTCACAAGTCAGATTTAGGGGAGTAGAGAGTTGCCTTTAGTTCAGTGTATTCCCTTGTTCAGTTTGAGGAAAGTAGATGGAGTGTGATGGTTACAACTGAGGGGGAACAATAGGTGGCATTAGCTGCAATGGGTGGTAATAATGTGGGAAAGAAGAGTGATCCCAAGAAAGTTGATAACAAGGACAAGTTGTGGTGTACCCACTGCCGGCGGTCAAGAAATACACGTGACACATGCTGGGGTGTCACTCCAGATTTATTCTTGGTTATTGCAGTCAATCCAAGGTTTATTCCTGTTAGAAGAATGAGAATTGAAGAACACAATCTGTACGGGGTGTCACTCCAGATTCAGAATGACCCCACTCAAAAGTCACAAGTATTATTAGGCCCACAATATGTAATAATTACAGGAAAGGGCCCTTCTAAGGGACCAAAACATAAATATATAAAAATACAAGGATCAAAAGGAAAAATAAGGACAATATACATTAATATGATATTAGCATGGTGGTCTCTCTTCTTTCTTCCTACAAGAAACCCAATGACTCAATGTTCTCTCTTTTTCTTTTCTTCTGTTTCTCTCTTCTTCTACTATCTACTCTTCTACCTTATTTTTCTTGGTTATTTTTCTGTTAATAATCATTCTAAAACACAAGTGGTTTCATGAATGATAGTTCTGTGTCTGAGTTCTGATAAAAAACAACCAAGACACTTGTAAAGTAGAGCTAGCAGTTCCCAAGATAGTATTGTATCAAGGATGTTCAATATGTTGCTTATGCAACAATATCAGTTTTGTTAGCAGAAAAAGAAGACTTTAAAAGCCTGCCTATATGTTATCAGTACCTTCCATTGATAAGGCAGTTTGGACCATGAGCTGGTTTAGTCTCTCTGCTTCCTGCCGTTCTTCTTCTTTATTGGGATCAAATAGAATCAGTGTGTGGAAATTCCCATCACCGGCATGAGCAATAACAGTACTGGTGTCAGGAATAGCAAACCAAGGTCACCACATTATGAGAATTAATTTCAATATTTAGAAGCCTACAATAATATAAGATCTTTTAGCTTAGTTCCTTTCTGTATAATAGTATTCTGAAATTAACATACCACACTAATGACGATGCTTGAAGCTCTTCTTTGGATTTTGATATTAATTCTGCAAGATGTGACAAAGGGACACATACATCCTGCAATGTAGGAAATAGGGACAAAGGGAGTGAGTACAGGATGGAAAAATAAAATACTTGGGGAATATCAAAAAGAAGAGAAATGAGTAAAGCCATCTAAAAAACTCCAGATTAAAGATACCATTCACAAATTAAAAGCAAGGCAGATGAAGGGTTATTTAATTCTCTGGATTAGAAGAAGGTACATGGTTAAAACCAACAAGGAAAAAGAGATCAGCCACAGATTAGACAGATGGCATACAAATTCATAATGGAAACCAAAGCTTGCGTCAATCAGATTAATGACCAACAATGTACAATCAATATATATAACATAGTTATATACCAAACTGACCGTAATCATTGCTTCAAAGTTGGGTTTCATAGCAAAGCAAGCCCATAGTGCTTCCTTCCTTATCTACAACAAAAACTACAAACAAATTAGATTTACCAAATATAAATAAAAAAGGGAGTTGTACCTACATGCTAAGCTTTTTTACTAAGACTGTTAAAGAATAATCAAATTCATCACTAAAAAAATCTTAAATATCCACGCCCATGTAAGGACTCCCCATTTGACGTGCAATACAAAAATTAACATCATGATATGCTATAACATGGAACTCAGTCAGTCACCATAGTACATATGCAATTTAGAATGACACATTACAAGATGGTATGATGTAAACAGAAAAAACAAATTATATGTAGCACAACAATACTGAGCTGAAAACAACAAAACAAGTAGGATTTTTAGGGATTTCAAATCTGAACCTGAAGTAAAATTCCTATTGGAACAGTTCCGCTACAGTAACAATGACATCAAGCTGGCCTGCTGTGTTGACACGTAGTGATAGAAGGATTGGAAGGCACCAAAATGAGTCAATTCAAAACCCAAGCTCTCAATACTTGAAAACTCTAGCTAGGGCTGACCTACAGCTCAAACAAGAGATAAACAACCAAAAAGACCCATACAGAAACAATCCCCCTCTCTTTTATAAGACTTAATGGCTTGTTGAAGAAGCCAACTAAAATATTTACACATAAGCCTCTAGAGTGTTCTCCCTTCACAAACAACACCTTAAGAACTTCAAACAAACCTCCAAAAGATAACTTTTGTTACAAAAACACCTAATAGACCAAAACCCAACGGATGCACACTTAGTTCCCCTGACCAGAATGACTTATAAAATGATGAAAATACCCTAGGGCCCAAATTGACAACAAAGCTTCCCAAGACAACTATTTGTGGTTCAGAAGAAAAACAACCTTCTAAAATAAACGGACTGTTCAAAAAGGTGCAAAAAAGTGATAGAGAACAGCAGAAACAAAGAATCAAGAAGAGAGAAGAGGAAGAAGAAGGTGGCGGCAATAAGGGTTCAGAAAGAGATTTTCGAATCTAATCTCTTCTTACACCCTAATTCCTTTTCATTAACTTAATTTCAGTAATTTACAGAGAGGCCCTTAACTGGGCGAATAATTAAAAAATACATAACATAAGAAAGGCCCATGCTGAGGCCCATTGCAGCAAAGAACATAAAGAAAAGAAATAAGAAAACAGTCTATGGGCCATTCGACCCATCTTCTCTACAGGTTCCTACTACAAAAAACAAACTCAAAACATCTTTACACAATCACGAAAGGAATCTACCCTATAGGTCTTCGGTTAACTGAATAATTGAAGGCAAACTCATCTTGTGGTAGGATAAGATCCCATTACCTCAAGTTATCTCCAACTAAACTCAACAAGTTGTCCAACCTTTGGTTAACCATTTTAGTTTTCTCATCTATTTGTGGATGAAATGTGCTACTGTATTGTAGGGTAGTACCCATACACTTCCATAAAGTTCTCTAAAAGTGGCTAAGGAATCTTGTGTCACAATTTGATGTGATAGATCTTGACAATTCATGCAACTAAACAACTTCTTTAAAAAACAAGTTAGCTTCATGAGAAGCATTAATAGTCTTTTGGCAACCAATAACGTGAGCCATTTTAGGGAAACCATCTACCACAATAATACAGTAATATCAGTTCATTGTGCTTTTGGTATGGGTAAGGGAAGATACAAACCTATATTTTGATGCTACCCCTTAGATGTTTGGTTACTTGTAACAAATACATCTTTTGGAGACCATTTCAAGTGACTTCTTGCAACCAAAATGTCCCTTGCAATGCAAATAAAAAATGTGTAACACCCTCAAAGATCCTGATGGAATACATAACCTATTGCCCATGAATAAGTAACCATAATACATAAACTTGGCTCGAATATCCTTGTCACCTACTGCGTAGCTTCGGCAAATAGGGCCAAAATAAGGGTCATCTTGGTACTGCTCTTTGATGGAGCTGAACATCATAACATTAGTAGACATTTGTGGTCACCAAGTAAACTCTCCTACTAAGTGCATTGGCTACTCCGTTTTTCTGTCCAGCCTTATGCTTCAAAATAAAATTATATTCTTGTACAAAATCAATTCATTACACCTTTTCCGATACATAGAGGTGTATCAATACTTTGAACCATGAGTGGAATACCTCCTAGCATCATTGAGTTTCTCACTAAAGTAAGCAATTGGACGGCTTCTTGGCTAAGGACAGCTCTAATCCCAAGATATGATGCACCACATTCAACTTCAAAGAGCTTGTAAAAATCAGGTAAAGTCAAACCATAATAGATTGTAGGGTTTCTATATGATGAGTTGTAGGTTGGCCATATGTTTGATAACATCATCTAGACATGTTTCTTGACTACCCAATACTGCTCCATACAACATAGCTGGCCTTATAACTATTTAATAGAAATTTCCTTTTAATCTAAGTGGTATTCATCTATTGCATAAAACTCCAGCATAAAATTTATAAAAAATAGTATGCAACATCAAATTCCTTTTAATTGCCACAAAAAACCCCCAAAGTCAGACCTTACTGGTAGGGTTTCTATATGATGAGTTGCAGGTTGGCCATACACCTAATGACATCATCTGCATGGCCACTAACATTGGTAGTGCATTGTGAAGAATGTTCAAACAAATTGAACTTGAAGGGAGCTCTGGTACTAAGATGACCAGTAATCAAATGTTCATTGTGTGTTTAATTTGAGAAATCGAATAGAAAAGAGAAGAACAGAAAAGAAAAGTAGAAAATTGGCTGAAAATCTATCTTGGTTCTCATACCTTAATTATTGGTATTTATACTAGAAAAAGGAATTTATAAAACTGCCCATCATTAGGTGCCCCTTAATCATGATTAACTATAATGACAAAACTGTCCTTGAGGCAGACCTGATCAACTCAACATTATGCACTCTCCAGTTTTTCAAGTAAAAGTTCATACTGCTGGTTATTTGCACTTCAATAAAACTTTCCCTTTCTTTAAATTAGAAAAAAATAGGAAAATCACTTCCAATGGAACCAATTTCCAAAGTGTTTTTCCATCAAACTAAGCGGAACCTTGACCACAATACATTCATCAATATGATAATGCTAATATGAAATTTTATTTTACCATAAAAATATGAAAATGCTAATACTTATTCTCCAAAAGGTCAATCCTCAAACATGGATGGTCACGTTTTCCAAAAATGGCTGTCTAGAACTTACCACCACATATAATAATATTAATTCTGAAAGATGAAGAAACAATGTTCCCATTCCATCAAGAAGACACATGTACAGAAATAACAAAATGAATAGTAAAAGAAGCACATTGCCAATTTGATATAGAAGAAATAAAGCAAAATAATTGCAGGACTTGAAAACATTCTACCTTCCAAAGTTCCTTCTTGGCCTCAGGCTCTTCAGCAAAATCAAAATCAGAGCCGTTGTGCTCAGAAACAATCTTTTGAACAATTGATGTCTGCTCGCGTGCATATGCTTCTGCAAAATGGTATATCAGAATGAACAAAGTTAGAACTTAACATGGGGCCAATGAACATAAATTGTTGAAACAACCATTTGTTGGAGGATACATACTTTTAAATTTTTAATAGGAGAAATTATCATAAGGCTGAGTGATATCGTAGAACTACAATTTACGAATGTTAATGTAAGTGTCTATTACTGGCACATTGTAAGAAATAAAAGGGATTTGCACAGTCTGCATTTCACAAAAACTAGGGAAGAAGTCAATCATTTACGGTTCATCAGTCCATGCTTAGACTAGTTTCTGGACTGTACACCCTTTTTTTTTTGATAATTGAAAAGTTACTTCATTATCAAAATGTAAGCAAAGTTACAGCACCCCAAAGAGAGGCACGAGGTGTGACCTCTCTTGAAAATACAAATAATCGTAAGAAACCACAGTACACTATAATCAAATCATTACAAGGTTGCCCAATACAGATGTTCCCTCAAGACCCCTTGTTTAGTGAGACTATCAGCCATAGCATTTGCTGACTTTCTCACCCAACGTGAACTAACATTCATGTTGCTTGTTAATCAGCTTGCCTTCTTTAAGAAATCCTTGTAGCACCAAATTACTGAGCTCAGGTCTGTTAACCAGCCCACAACCACCTTAGAATCTACTTCAATTAGGAGATGCACCACTCCTATTTGATTTGCTAACTGAATACCTTGTAGAACTGCCAATAGTTCAACCTTGGCTGAACCTCTTATTCCCACTGGACCAGAATACAAGGCCAAGATGTTGCTGTCTTAATCTCTCAAAACCCCAGGATTTCCTTGACTACTACCATTAAAATTCAGTTTAACCCAGTCTTCAGGTGGTAGAGTCCAATCTACAATGACCCTTTCTTTCCTGGAGGAGCTGTTTGTGGCTGACTAGTTTCTCCAAAAGTCATCAAAGGAAACACAGCGGAAAGAATCCAAAGTTTTCAGCCAGTTAATTGCCCTTGTTAGGATACATTCCTTGACAAGTAAGAGACTTCGTTCCTTTTCTTGAAAGATCTTGCATTTCTTTCTTCCCAAATTGTCCGAAGTGCAGCAACTCTAATACATTTCCACATGGTCCTCCCTCTTCTAGTGGCTAGACAAAGTTCGATGAGTCAAAAAGTAGACTTACATCTGAAGGCCGGTTCCACCTGCATCCAAACAAGGCAAAAATCCAATCCCAAATAGCAACAGCAAAAGAGCAGGAAGTTAGTAAGTGGAAGCAATCCTCATCATTGGCTTTGCATAGAATATACCAATTAGGGGATAAGCACATGAAAGGCTTTTTTTTTTTTTTCCTACAAATAGTCTAAAGTATTGATCTTCCCAGTAGAACAAAATAACTTTAGGGGGAATAAGTCTAGTCCAGAACTCCTTCACTGGACAAACACCTTGAGCAAGGGGAACAAAGGACCTTAAAGAAAGAAGCCTTTGGGGTGGGGAGACGAAATCCTCTTATCTGGCTTTAGAGGATCCAAACAAACACTATCTAGGGCACAAAGAAGTTCCAACAACATCAAGTTCAGCATCTCTTAAACCCCTACGGAAGCCAAAATTCCAATTCAAAGCTAGAGGGGAAAAAGGGGAGGGAAGAAAGTGGGAGACAACCTTATGCTTAAACAAGGAGATGGAGTATAGAGAAGGGAACAAGACCTTGAGAGCTGAATTACCTACCCAAAAATCTTCCCAAAATAAAACATCGTTCCCTAATCATGAATTGCTTTCCAAAGGAGTGGTCAAAGTAGCCCGACGAGAAACTCTAGGCAGCCATGAATACTAGCTATCACCTCATGCCACAACCTCTCTTTCCAAAGGTCATCTCCACAACCACTTACCTAACAAAGCTACATTCTTTAGAGACAAATTCTCTAACCCCAACCCACCCTCTTCTTTTCTCCTACAAACTATCTCCCATCTTATTAGGTGATCCTTTTTCTCTTCCCCAGGATCCGAAAGGAAGTCTGTCATTAATTTCTCCAATTTCTTTGCCTCCCTAGAGGGTATCCTGAACACAGAGAGATAATAAACCAACAACTTAGCTAGAGTGGCTTTAAGCAAAATTGCTCTACCTTTTAGAGATATATAACTCTTTTTCCAAGCCGCTAGCCTTTTTTCAAATTTCTATAGAATTGGAGTCCAAAAACAGCTCTCCTTCGGGTTAGTCCCTAGGGGAAGCCCAAGATAAGACAAGGGTCAAGAAGCTACATGACAACTTAAGCACTCTGCTATAGATTCAGTAAACCCTTCATCTAGGTTAATCCCTGTCACACAACTCTTGTCCAAGTTTATTTTCAAGTTAGAAACCCCTTCAAAGTAACTTATTAAAGCTTTAAGATTGCTCACTTTTCTTAGGTCAACCCCTTCACTGAAAATAATAATATCATCAACAAATTGGTGATGGGTCACTGGGACTTTCCTATCCTCCAACCTCTAATTGCCTCTTTCCTTTCTGCCTTTGAGAGTAACCTATTGAACACATCTGCTATCAGGGTAAAGAGAAAAGGGGAAAGGAGGGTCACTTTGCCTTAATCCTCTAGAGGTTGGAAAGAAGTCCTTAACCACACCATTTACTAGGACTGAAAAATGAACAAAACTAATACGACCCTTCTTCCAGTTGCACCACCTATCACCAAAACCACAGCTTCTCAGGACCTCAATCAAGAAGCTCCAATCCACTAAGTCATAAGCCTTTTCTAAATCCAATTTGCAAACAACACCTTGCTGGCATGATCTCCTCATTTCCTCCACACATTCATTGGTTATTATTATTTGATTAGAAATTTGTCTTCCTTGCACAAAGGCCCCTTGAGGTGTAAAATTAGCCAAGATTTTGTAGATACTAGTCACTAGGCTAATCGGTGTAAAATCCTTAAGGTGTTTCGCATCTATCACTTTCGGAATTAAGGCTAGAAAAGTGGCATTGACTCCCGGGCTCACTAAATGTCTTTCCACAAACTCCCTAAAGACCCCAAGTTAGTCTCCCTTCACCATGTCCCAATAGTCCTGATAAAAAGCCATGGTAAAACCATCCGAGCCAGGGGCTTTTGAACTATTCATAAGAAACATTGCCTGTTTTATCTCCTCTTCTCAAAATCTCTCTCCAACCAGCTGACACTTTCCTCACATAACCTTGGCCACTCAACTCCTTCCACCCTAGATCTATTATTCGAATGCTTTCTCAATAGGGATTTAAAATGATCCACAAATCTCCTTGCAATTTCTTCCTAATTTGTTACCACCCTCAATTTCCAATTTTGCCACAATGTTCTTTCTCTTTCTTCCATTAGCTAAGGCATGAAAATACTTAGTATTCCCATCTCCTTCCTATATCCATTTATGTCTAGACTTTTGCCTCCAGAATATCTCTTCTCTCAAAAAAACTTCTTCCAAATCCACCTTGAGTTTTCTTTTCATCCCTCTTCCTTGCTCATCCAAAATTCCTTGGGATTCTTTAAAATTGAGCTCCTCAACCCTTGCTAGCAATGACGCCTTTTGTTCCTCTAGTTTGCCCAAAGTGGTCCTTATTCCACTCTTTTATCTTGGACCAAATTTAACTCCCTGCCACTTAACCCCTCTTAAGTCTTCATTCCACCACTCTTCCACTTTCAACACAAAATCAGGGTGATTTAACCATATGTTTTCGAATCTAAAAAGGTGAGGTCCTGATCCTAAGATTTCTGGGCCTAACCTAATAGGGCAATGATCAAAGGTTACTCTAGGTAGAGCCCTAGCCACCAAATCTCTGCAATGGTTTTTCCACCCTTCATTGAGTGGGAGCTGAAGGAGCTATCCCAAGAGCAAGAGAGACAAAGGTTGAGTTCAAGTCTACACCCATTCCCTGTGCCTGATTCTGCTGTAGAGGGTTAGAGGTAGGATACACAGCTCTATTGACTGAAGCATCAAAGGAAGCCTTCACAAGCTGACCCCCTTCAGGTATAATGTTGCAAACCTTCCTGGAAGTGTCTTGCCTCTCCATACTAAAGTCCTGTTGAAGCTGGGCTAGCGGAATAAACTTCCTAGTTGAAATAGGTGTTCCCTGAGCCCCTTCTGCAGTCTCTGTTATATTCTTGACTAAGAAGCGGTCATTCAAGGTTACGGCAGCTTCCCCATTTTCCTTTAAACCTCCTACCTCTTCCTTTGTAAAGAGAACCTCAGTTCCGAAACTATCCGCTTCCAGAAGACTCGTTGAATGATTTAAATCTACACTCACAAGACTTAGAGTGTTGTCTGAATCTGTATCCCTTGTCTGGACTGTACACCCTATTCTTCTCTGAGTTTTGACATTCCTCTAGAATGGGGCTGCACAACAGGGGGTAGCCCCTCTGCCAAACCCCCCAAAAGAAAAAAATAACCTGGAAAAATAAAGATTTAACCTGAAAACAAAAGAAAAAAAGGAAGAAAAGAGCTGAACCAGAAGATGGTGAGAAAAAAAGGAGTTGCAAAATCTGAATTTCACAAATACTAGGGAAGAAATCATTCAGTTAATCTATCCTGTCCTACAGGTCATACATGATACATCAGTTAGCTACCCTAAATGGTCCATCAGTCCATGCTTAGACTAGTTTCTGGTTCTTTGTTTCTTTTTTTTTTTTTTTTCTTTTTTGCTTAATAGGGCTACACAACAGGGGGTAGTCCATCTCCCAAACCCCAAAACCCCCAGTTGGCTGAAAGGGTTCACAGTTGGTCTATGTTCTGAAAGCAAAGAAGAAAACAGGAGAAGAGAAGAGAAGAGAAGAGGAGAAAGAGAAGAAAGAATGGGAGAAAAGGGAGCAGTTATTTCGTTCCTGCCACCCCAATATTAGCATTTATATTTTAGCAAATTAAAGAGCAGTACAGAGACACTAATACCCCTACCACCCATGTAAGAAAAGGAACATAATAAAAACAGCTAACAGCAACTAATAAAAACATAAAACATGAGGGACCACACCAGTCTACTGTACTGCATCTCTACACTCCCCCTCAAGTTGGGAATAAATATGGGACATTCCCAACTTGTACAAATGTCTCCAACTTGAGTCCCGCAACAACTTTGGTGAAAAGATCAGCAAGCTGCATATTGGAAGCAACATAGGGAAGACACACTTCTTGAAAAGCAATTCTTTCTCCGATAAAGTGTCGGTCCACCTCGATATGTTTGGTTCTATCATGTTGTATTGGATTATGAGCAATATTAATAGCGACCTAGTTATCACAATAAAACATCAAGGGCCTTTCATATTCAATTCCCAACTCCTCAAGTAGAGATCTCAGCCATAACACTTCAGCCACACCATTAGCCATGGGCCAATACTCTGCCTCAGCACTAGAAGGGGCAACAACATTTTGTTTCTTACTCTTCCATGAGACAAGATTCACTCCAACAAAGGCACAATACCTTAAGGTAGATCACCTATCATCAACACACCCAATATTTTTGAAGGGTATGCCTCGACCAAAACATCTCTTCAAGTAAGCAAGAATCCTCTCAACTGCAAGTAGATGGGATGTTTTGGGAGAATGCATGTACTAACTAATATTGATAAGCATAAGAAATGTTGGGCTGTGCTAGACACAAATAGATCACTTTTCCAACCAACTGCTGAAACATAGCTTTGTCTTCAAGAGGCTCACCACATTCTGCACCTATCTTATAATTTTGTTCAATAGGTGTGTCAGTAGGCTTAACTCCTAATTTCCCAATCTCATCAAATAGATCTAGGGCATACTTCCTTTGGGAGATAAAGATGCCATGTTTAGACTGAGCCACTTCAATTCCCAAGAAATAGCACAAAGAACCCAAGTCTTTCATCTCAAACTCCTTGTTAAGTATTTGCTTAGGAGAATCAATCTTACCAGTGTTACTCCTGTCACCACAATATCATCAACATACATTGCAAAAAGAGTCAAGGAGGCACTTGCCTTCTTTATGAAAAGAATGTGGTTTGACTAGGCTTGCACATAGCCAAAGCTCTCCAAGGAAAAAGAAAAGAAGAACAACCATTTGATAATTCAAGCTTTTCTACTTGTACAAATTTGCTTCAATGTTTCAATGTCTAAATGTAAGTTGGTATTTCAGAACTTCTAGGTACGTAACGAATCTTAAGGGATGAGAGACAAGGTTTATGATCCCTTAGTATTTTAAGAGAAAATGAACCAACATGATAAAATCATAGACTTAACTTGGGATGATATGTTTGGAGAAATATCATTCAAATACCATGTAAGTTGGTATTTCAGAACTTCCAAGTATGCAAGGTGTAGGTAACATAGTGCTTGCTCAGACCATCAAAGTATAGAAGATACCACATGGACACTCACGAAGAGTTCATAACTCATCAGCCATTTGCGATGAACTTATAACTCATCAAATGTCTGCGATAAACTTGTACTTGATACAAACCGGGATAACCTTTGTCTAATATGGACCTGCAATCGAGTTTAAGTATGCACGGTTCTGCGATAAACCTTAAACACGTGCGGTTCAGCAATAAACCTCAGATGCATGTAATTCCGTGATGAACTTTGGTCGCATGTAGTTCTGTGATGAACTCAAGACCATTATAGAACCGTGGATCACTGTGAACCGGACTTAAATACCGACCGCACGTGCAACTTTAAGTTACGCGGGTGATAAAGCGCCGTGCAAGATTAGTAAGGATGCACTTGCTAAATGATGACGCCACCAGAGCCACGTTGGTTAAGTAGGTCACGAAAGGGAGTAGCACATGCTGATTATGAGAATCCTCGGATGAAAGGAAAGTCAATCCTTGAGAGATCTCATAAGACACGTGGTGAAACCCTAGCAATGCTCCTTAATGACAGTGAATCTAATATTCCCTTTCCTAATGGGAATCAAATTCTTTCGACGCCTTCCTTTTGGGACCTTGGGACCCCTCCTTATAAATGAGAGTCCATCCCATGACGAAATCATGATTCGATCATACAATCATCCTATCCCGCTCCTGTGACCTCATCACTTCCATTTACCCTAATCTCCAAACCTATCTCCTGCACCTGGTCTTCCTTCGTCCTTCAAGGAGACCTCGAATGTAGCCGCACCACCTTACTTACACAAGGAATAAGTCATGAGGGATGAGAGAAAAGGTTTATGATCCCTCATTATTTTAAGAGATAACGAACCAATAAAAAATATTTCTCCTTTATATTGAAAGCATGATATTTAATTATAACTTTATATCATATGCTAATTACAAATGATTGCAAGAAGTCATATGGAAAAAATAATATTGCATTTTAGTGATTACAAAACCTTCAAATGACTCTTAAAATACACCCTTAGTTTAAATGCATTACGATATAAAGTTTTGATCTTTGAAATGTTATTTTGTATTTCCAATTAATGTAGGGAGTGTACAATCATTACAAATAAAGAACTCTAAGTTATGAGTCGTGTCTTAAATTGGGTCATAAGAATCCAAGTGTCAAAGTATTTATTTGAGTCTTGTCTCAAGGTTATTACGAAACCCCCTAAGCCTAATTGATTTTCTAAAGAGTAGATTTCTTTCCCCCATCAACTTCTATGACAAGAATAAATATTCCATGGAGAGAGAGAAGCCATGTGTCACCTGTGCCTATAAATTCAAACAATAGTGTTGGAACTTCAGGCAAATTTTTCCCGTTGGCAAGATTGATTGCCTTCACCATAACATCATCCAACAGCTCTACTCTTGATACCTAATAGGATCCCAAGGAAGAAAAAAGGACACAAAAAAAGAAACCAAATCAGGAAGTCATATACATGCTGTTTCTGTAAAACATCCATTATCATGAGTTGTTCTTGATGCAGCTTAAAACATATTATCCAAATCACATCTATTTAACATAAGAAGGCAGTTACAAAGTTACCACATAGAATCAGTGAAAAACATTTCCATGTCTGCTTTCATTACTCAAAAAGATAATTCAAAGTTGACCCAGTATGATTTATGTAAGAGAAAATGATAGTGGGTTCTGCAATGGTTTAGAAATAGTGGATAATGCTTTTCCTTTCTTTTTCTTTTCTTTTTTTTGGATTTAAAAACTTGAGGATGACACTGTATACAATATTGTTCCATGGCAGTCTTGAAATATTCTTCCAATGCTTGAAGGTGTAGAAATCCAGGATGCACCCATCAAAATTTAGTTTGATTTGTTTCCAACTAGTGACCTCCATTGCAGTGAGACTCCAGGCATGGATGAAGAAGAAGATGCAACCTACTGGACCACTACTACTCTCTAAGGATTTTATCCATAGAGAAAGGGTGAAAACTTTCAAGAATTTAATCCAATACACGACTCCACTTTCACAAAGATAGTGCTGTCAATGGGTTGGTTTTGGTCAGTGTTGAGATAGACCTGATCCCAACCAAGTAATATGCAGAAGCAGTTTCTAACCAGATCCTATAGGGTCTGTAATAACATGTCCAGAATCAAGCCTATTATTAATCTGGCTGTTCGGTCTGACCTGATAAGACCTGACAGGACTTCAGATGGGCATTTCGAATTCTTGGTAATGCCCTTTGGCCTCATTAATGCCCCCTCCACATTTTAGAGCCTTATGAATGAAATTTTTAAACCTCACTTGCACCAGTTCATTCTTGTATTTTTTGATGATATCTCGGTGTATAGTCCGAGATAGATTGCCCATATGGAGCACTTACAACAACAAGCAACTCCATGAGCGCTAGCGCTTCCCTTTCCTTTCCTTTTCTTTTCTTTCTCTTTCTCTTTTTTTTTTCTCTTTCTTTCTTTTTCTTTCCCTTCCCTTTCTTTTCCATTCCTTTCCTTTTTTTTCTTTTTTTTTTTTTTCTGTCTTTTTATATGAGGTGTGCATGAGGCTTATGCCTCTAGCACGCCTCGTGAAAAAAGCATATGAGGTGCATGCCTCTTCGACCTGTGGCATACGCCTAAGAGGTGTCAACACCTCTGGCATATGCCTCAGGGTGTTTTTGGGGCGCCTCCAGGCGTACACCTCCCATGCCTTTTAAAACACTGCTTATGATGTCCAAATGTGTCAGTTTAACAAATAAGTATATTTATTGTCAAATTACAGGTTAAAAGTATAGCCGTCAATTATTAAAAGGCTATTTTATGGATGTCCTCTGAGTGCACATAGTTCTGATGGTACCCGACCATAGATCCAACTTAGACAAATACTGTGCCTGACCCAACTCATCAAAAAGTTCTTCAATCAAAGGAATGGGGTAACGGTATTTACCGCAATATTGTTTAAGGCCAGAGGTCAACACAAAATCTCCAATTACCATCCTTTTTCTTACCAATATGACTGGTGATGAGAATGAGCTACTGCTGGGTCGTATAAATCCCTTGTCCAACAATTCCTTCACCATTTGCTTCCCCTTCAACTCTCTAGTAATGGGGGTATCTGTAGGGTCTTATGTTAGTAGGTGGGACCCCTGGTTGTATTGGAATCTGGTGGTCATGAGTTCGGTAAGTGCTAGGGTCAAGAGTTCTTGGAAAACATCTGAGTAGATGTTGTAATTCGGGCTTCGATGGTGGTAATGCCTATGTTATCAGGGGAAGAGGATATGGTCGATCTCGATCCAATAGGTAGTGAGCCCATGCTCATGAGGAATGGAGTGTCATTGTGTTGGCAGCTCTTAAGAATGGAGTTGGGTGCATCAACAACTATGGGTAGTGAGTGGGCACCCTTAAGAATGCATGGTTTCCCCTGGTTAGTGAATTGCATGGTGAGCTCAACCCAATTACACATGAATGAGCCCAGAGACTGTAACCACTGTACTCCAAGGACTATGTCTGCTCCTAAAAACTCCGAGGGATGGAGGTTTACATTGAACACATGCCCTTGCACCTTTAGTTCTACTGCCCTACATCTTCCTTCACAAGTGAGGTGGTGGCCATTGGCCACATTAACAACAAACAAGGATATGGGTTCAATTGATAGCACAAGTCGTCAGGTCAATCCAGGGGTGATGAAGTTCAAGGAGCTCCCACTATCAATTAATATTGCTACCCTTCATCCTAAGACCTGTCCTTGGACCCGCATAGTTCGTGGGGCTTGCAACCCACTAAGGCTTGTAAGGAAATCGTGTAGTACTCTACGTCGGGAACCACCTCCTTTTGTTGGACCTAGATGTAAATCTCAGTCCTCTAATATCAAGATTAAACTTAGTGATTAGCAGAATAGAACAGATCTGAATAACTGTATAAGAGAGGAAGATGGCGAAGGGAAGAGGTAAGAGAAGAAGAAGTCGAATTAATCACCCTTCTCTTCTAACCCTATTTTATTAATCTCTAAAAAATTGATAATGACAAGTATACCCTTAAGTGGGCGGCCAGCTTGGCAGTTATATAAAGAAAATAAAATAAGAACAAATACCAGGCCCATTAAGTGAGGCCCATCAACATAAAATAAAAGATAAAATAAAGGATATCACACGAAAGGCTGTTAGGGCCCATTTGGCCCAGTCTCTTTACACTCCCCCTCAAGCTGAGCATAGATGTCAATCATGCCCAGCTTGCTTATATAGTGTGTCAATTTCCCCCGGGAACTCCC